TCAAACTGTTAATTCGATGAGTATATTAAGAAAAAAAGAAAGGAATTCAAGGGGAAAGAATGAGAAAATGAAAAAAGGTACCGCATTATAAAACGGCTATTCCGTCCATCTTTTCATCTTGCATAATTTACATCTGAAGCTAGTCAAAAAAATGCAAAAAGCAATAAATTTTACAAATGGTCATCATCTGCGTACCTAAAATCTAGTGTATCACCTAGCACAACCCCTTGTTGTGATAAAGGTACGTTCCATTCCAAAACGACTTTTCCGTGCTTCAGAATGAGCGGACGATTGCGTTTCGGCCCGAACCAACGTGGTAAGCGCCTCAACACGTCTGATGGTGTACTCTTGTGTATATCAAGACCGTCCAGAATCATGAGAATATTGGTCCTGGTGCGCACACGGACGCAGTCAGTGTCCGTTCCGCATATCTCTTTTCGTTTCGTAGAATCGGATGATACAGTCAAGGCAATGCAGAGGGCTATTAAAACAGCTAGAGATAAGAATTTGAAACTTCGCCTCATCAGTAATGGCAATCCCTCCCTCCCATATGCATGTGTGTGTTTGTATAGCTGTGTAATAATTATGAAAAAATTAGCAAACAGCTGAGACTCGATAGAGCGTAGTTGGAGAACGAAGACATCGGAAAAAAAAAGTGAAGATGAAAGAGGAAAAATCGACCTGTGCATATAGATCTTTGTCGAACAGGATACAATAAAAAGGAAAATAGAAGTTTCATTTCGAGAAAAAAGAACAAATCAAGTTCAATTTTCTTGAATAATGTTAACAAATACGTGACCGACTACACTTGAGTCCCGATATATTTTTTCCCAGTCTACTGATATGCGTATTCCAAAACTTTAGCGAGAGTCCAAGGTTGTGGGTTAGCGTTTTGCGGCTGTGGCGTGTCAGAAAAATCGGAGCACCCCTTCTCCACATCCATCGAATCCACCGTTGCAAATAATAGCTGAACCAGATGTCTAGTTTTTTCCAGCATTAAGCCACTCAACTCCTCACCCGTTAATTGGAAGGCTTCGGCCGCATCACTCTCGATTTGTCGAGCACACCTGAGCTCCTCGTGCTGCCTCCAGAGCGAATACCGTGAGGCTCCTAAAGATTGTTCAGATGACGTGCTGCTCGGAGACGGCTGCGAAACAAAGTTCGTTCCCACCGTAGAGGCTTCTGGCTTCTGCTTTGCACGCCAAACACGCAAGGCGTTCCGCCGGTACTGCTGCTGCATGGATAGCGGCTCTGGAAAGGGTTCTAAGGAGACTAGTCTGTGGTACTCATGCTGCAACCCCGCACGCACTGGGGCGATATCCCGTGAGTAATTCCACGCTTCCTTCCCCCCTTGGCGAAACTTTGGTTGATAACGACTATACATCGTGAGAAGTGGGAGGGGCGCGTAGGGGTGGCGGTCAAGACGATTCTCGTACTCGATGATTTGTTTTTCCCCTAACGTCACCCCACTTTTTGAGCCAGGGGTTCTCTCCGAATGGGTCCATACTTTTTCAAGATAGGCCTTAACGAAGGCCCTTGAGATATTAAGTGTATCTTCCACACGCCACATCACCGCGGTGTGTGCGAGCTCGTGAAGCACATGGCTGACCATCGCCCGTAGGTAGACGAAGTCTTTGTTAAGAAACGCAGGATAGAAGTCGATCCCCTGCCGTATCTCGCTAGCCCACAGAAAAGTCTGAAGCTCTCCAAAAAGGGATTCAATAACGTCTGCCTTAGACTTGTTATTTGCCAGATTGGACCCAATCATCGCGTCTAGTTTTAGATAGTCGTATAACGCGAGCAGGCCTCCATTACTGTCTAGCATTTGCTGAATTAATGCCAGTTTCTTGCAGACGCCACCTTCCGTGGGTGGGAAGAGCACGTTCAAGCGGTCGTAAAAGACGTATTTAATGATATTATCCCCCAACATCTCGCACCGCTCGAAGCGATTAGAGCGCGCAAAGCTGACTTTTGAGGAGCTCGGAATGCTGTCCCGTAGAATTCCTTTAGTCCTCAATAAGCGCAGAAGGAATCGTAAGCGCCAGAGACGCCGACGTGGGTTGTTTGTGCTCATGGAGGGAATCCGCAGAAAGTCAAAGGCGCACGTGCCGCCAGCATACCTCGGGTTAAGCATCGTCCACCAACGCTGGATTAAAAGATCAATCCAATCAATTTTTTTAAGTAAATTCCGATTCGTCCTGAAATTCTCAGGCATTGGAAGCTCATGTCCATCCAAAGTGTGGGTGAATAGCAACACTGAACCTGGACTTTGCAGCTCCAATCTAGATTGCCTTACGGCATTCGAATTAGCCCTGATTCCTAGCAGGTGCGTAAAATAGGTGTCGAGAAGCGCAATAGACCTCTCTAAAATCCCCATTCGGGCCTGATGTTCGACTGTAGAGGCGTGTGCGGCGTAGCTCCACTCTAACTTGACATCACATAGCGTGCAACGACGGGAGTTGTAATCGTGAAATACAATTTGGGCACCCTTCGAACCGTAGTTTGCACTATTTACATACTGCATAGCCTCTTCCATGGACTTGGGTAGTAGGAGAGCGTTATTCAGCACGGGCTTTAAAAATTCATCCGGTGCAAAAGAAGGTGAAAAAGACGAAACGAGCGAGGGAGAGGTGACTAGCTTCTTTGAGCTCTTTTGAGGATGCACCCGTGAGTTAACTACGACGTACCGAAGAGGTGTGTCAAGAAACAGACCTACGGAGCGCCGTGAGAAGCAGTTTACCATAGGACATCTCCAGATCAATCGGCGGCATGAATCAGCCATTCTGGGTTTTATACTTTTCTGTAAGGAAAGCAAGGATCACCAACCCCTTTGCTTTATTTTGATCAAAAGCACTAAAAGAGGGTCCTCAAGTCTTCTACTTTCGGGGAACGAACGTGAGAGATCAGCCCTTTCGCAATTATTAGGCTTGCTTCTTCGTTATAGCAGAGTGTCAGTAAATGCAAGCCTAGGACACCCACGAGCAACACGTGAAATCTGACGGAAAGAAGTCGTGTTGCAAAGCTATGCAAAACAACAATCAAGGACTAACATGAGCTAGTCTTAAGAATACAAAAATGAGGCAATCACAGAGAGTAAATAAAATCAAGAGTAACCATAAACTCGAAAAAAAAAATTAAAGTACTACTACTAATAATAATTCACCGATTGATATTGGTACTAGATTTATTATTATTATTTATAAACTCATTAGTACTGTAATGAGTTTTATCAAGCTTTTATTACACAGTCGATGACCCATCGCTTCTTCGTGAAAGGAATTTGTGGTAACCCACGGCTTAGACAAGCAGAAAAGCGTCACTGGAAATGGGATGAGGTGAGGTGTAACATGTTTTCTTTTACTTCATTGTTGAATTATGATTGTGTTATTCACTACTGTATTATTGATGATGGTAGATATCTCACCCTTTTCAATCCATATAGAAGACCCAAAACGTCATTATTATTGGCAAAACGTTCGCAGAAATGAATATATGATTATGGTTGGGTTAAAATAGAAATATAGCCTCTCATCGGCAAACAATGGACGTAGATGCCGCGGTGCTATTAATTAGCAAAACAACAGTAGTTCAAAATTTAAACGCCAATATAATTTTTTTTTAAGGGAAGCATCCACAATTTAATATTATTATTTTTTATTATTCACCCTATATTATTATGCTAATTCATCAACCAGTACACTACGGACATTCTGCAGCAGATCACTCTCCGGTCGGACGCCGCGTAGATGAAATACGCGTTCCACTACAGTCAGTTCCGTGGCAGTCGTCGTGAGACCACAGAAAGCTACCCAGTCGTTTACCAACAAACCAGAACCTACCGCCGCATTACCACGATTAATCGTTCCGGCAACAACAGGAACCTGCAGGAGCGAGGATATCTCGTCCATATCCTCCGCCGGCGTCTTGGGGTGCACCAGGCAGCCTTTATTGGTAACTACCGCGTAGGTCCCTACTAGTGCGTTAGAAGCGATCGAAGTGCGGAAAGTCTGCACCCCTAAAACATCCCGAATAACTTCCTCCGTTTCGCGGCTAAGATCGGTGTGAATAAGAGCTACGTGGTCGTTACAAACGATGCAGTTACCTAAAGCAGAAAGTCGCTCCTCAACACGTTGAAGCTTGACATTATCGGGAAGAGAGTTACGTAGATGTTGTAGCTCCTGATCAGTAGTCATGGATGGTACGATGAGACCATTGCGGTTGCCAATAACTAAGCGACCGATGATGCGAGATCCCCCAATGGAAGTATAGATGACAGGGATATGCTTCGCAAGGGCCTGCTCAAAGATGGAGAAAAAATTCTGAGAAGAACCGGAGTCGACAAGGCAGTAGGCATTCGTTAGGCATGCGAAGACAGCGATGTCGTCAGAACTCTCGTAGCGTGCACGATAGGTCATTTTATTTGATATTCCGTGCCTATATGTATCGACGCCTAAGTTATGAAGGATGCTTTATGGTTGTATTTATTTCTTCCTTTAGTTAATTTAAAACGCATACAAAAAATACAATATAAAGATAGAAAGCATTTAAATTTGTGACTACTGAGATCATCTGCAGAGAGTACCCATTTTCACAAACACCTTTTATATCACCAACTGCTTCCTGAAACAACTACCCCTTTGTGGTTCATATAATAGAATCACATAAACAAGGCAAATAGTAAGGGCAAATGTAGTAGGGAGAGAAGAAAAATACAATTAATCTCCATCTGGCTCATTCAGAGCATCAAAAGACATGATGCTGGGTGTTAGTTTAACCCTTAGGTTTTTCCTGCGCTCCTGATCTACCCGTGCGGCCTCGCGGTATAGGGCACTTTCGGAATTAAACAACAACTCGTAGTCCCGGTAGAATTGATGATCTTTGGCCTCCACCACCTCCGTCACCTCTGGCAAAAAGTGCCGCATCACACGCTCAATCCCATCTTTTAGTGTATTTTCCGATGAAGGGCAATTACGGCAGGCGCCCAACATCGCCAATGAAACGACCCCAGTTTCCTCATTGAAGTTCAGCAGCTTCACATCACCGCCGTCGCGCTGTACCATGGGCCGAACCTGCCCTCGCAGCAGCTCCTTAATGCACTGAAGCACCTCCGAATCGGTCTCTTTGATATCCAAATCATCCTCAAAGAGGGCGTACTCCTTCGCCGGCGCGACGCACTCGGCCTTGAAGACCAGGTAGTGCCCTAAAAAGCTACTCACACTCCATTCGATCGAGGACCAATCGACCTTGTCGTGGACCGTGATTGAGACGCTGCGTGGGGCGATAAACACACTAATGATCTCCCGCGCGTACTGCTCAAAAAGGCCCTGCGAAAGGGGGTGAACCCACGCCAGCCCTTGATGCGGCACCTCACAGGTGATCCCATCCGGCGTAAAGTTCTCGTACGTGGTAGATGGAATGGTGTAGGAAAAACACAACGGATTGGGTGTCGGTTGCGCATGCAGCTGCATCATCCAGCGCGCAAGATTTCGTCTCAGCATTTTGAAACCAGTATCATAGAACTGGTTTAGAGAAACACTATCGATATATGCCTTTAGATGAAATAAAAAGCAAAGATACTAGTAAAAACAAAAGGACGAAATAGGCAAAGAAGAATATAGAATGGCTGAATTCACAACGTCAATTGTGAATACTGTCAGACGAAAGTCAACTTCTCGTTCATCAATAAGCTTAGGCAGCAATTATTACCCTCGCATTGTACAGTCATGGACTCATTCCCTCAATCTTTTGCGCATTTTAGTCTCCAGCTCCTCTCTAGTGAAATAGTTCAACGGCGACATTTCGAGGATCATGTCGACCGACTCGATAGCAGTGAGATGCATCATATACCGTTTGGTTGTGCGACGTAGCTGCGTAAAAACCACCAATGACGGACGCTCTCGAAGCACCTGCGGGATCCTCAAGTCCACATCCGCGCCGTTAGAAGTTTCTTTGCTCTGCATCATTGCGGCAAGACCCTTATTCGGCAAGGCCTTCATCCCAGAACGAAACAAAAAGCTGTTTGGATGAATTTCCGTCGTGCAGGCGTCGTCATCGAGGCTGGCTCCGTACGACGATCCCCCGGTGTGGATCGGCCGGACGATGGTATAGGTGCGCTTATCTAACCCCATCTTTGCCACGTTGAAGAAAAATCCGGAAAGAAGCGCCTTCGTGAGTGCCTCGGTGTTAATCATGCGGCCACTTGGATAAAGCCCTTCCGTCGCGCCTCGCGCCTCCGGAGCGGCAAGGGTCGTAGGATGCCTCTCGTTGGAATCGTCCTCCTTGAGATCGAGCCCGATCCGGTCGTAGATCTTCAAGATCTGATCGAGCACATCCCGTGCGCGAAGCAGGGAACGGGGGTGGATGCCATGCACGCGGCAGAACTCCCCTGCCTGAGGCCCCGCCCGCAGCCACTCCTCCATCACCCGGACGTACCCGGCGACGTCGCCGTTTCCGAAGGCGAAGAGCTCCCCTTTCGCGCTCTCCACGAGCTGCCGCTCCTGCGGATCGCGTGAGGTGAGAAAGATGGAGTCGATGGAAAGCATCGCGGCGGCCATCGCCATATGCCGCCCGCAACGAAGCCCACACGCGCGAAGAAGCGCCTTGCTCAAAGGGGGTTCGAGCGGGAACTCCGACATCCGACGCCCCGTAACGGTCAGCCTCCCATCCGCTTTCATCGCGCCGAGGAGGTAAAGCTGATCGAGGGCTCGCTCGAGCGACTCCGTCGACGGCGGATCGACAAAATCGAACTGAAGCAGGTTATCCACCCCGATTGCCTTGAGCTGCAGAACCACCGCACTCATGGAGGCGCGTAGGATCTCCGGCGTCGTCTCCTCCAGGAGTTCGTTTCGAAAGGTATATGGGGTGTAGAGACGAAAACACTCCCCTCGTTGCGTTCGCCCGGCGCGCCCGGCGCGTTGCTGCGCGCTCGCCTGCGAGGTGGGCACCACCCGCAGCTCCTCCACCATCGCGCGCGCGTTGTAGTAATCCTGCTTGCACAACCCGCAATCCACGACGTAGACGATCCCGTCAATCGTGATCGACGTCTCCGCGATGTTGGTCGCGATGACGACTTTTCGCGCACCAGGAGGGGTGGGGGTGTAGATCCGCGCCTGCTCCTTCGGCGGCATGGCGGAATAAATGGGCAAAATGAGCAGAGGTCGCATCGTTCCTTGGGATTCCGCTAAGTTCTGACGGAGGATTTCCGCGCAGCTCTCGATCGCGTCTTGCCCGGGCAGAAAGATAAGAATATCCCCCGGTAGCGGCTTCGTCAGGTGCAGGCTCAGGGCGGTTTGCGCGGACTCACTGACGTAATCCGTGATCGGTACGTCGACGTAGAACACGTCCACGGCGAAGGTGCGCCCCTTGACGTTTAAAATCGGCGCCTTATTGAAAAAGTTGCTGAACTTTTCCGCATTGATCGTGGCGCTTGCCACAATCACCCGAATGTGCGGGTTTCGACGAACAACATCTCTTAACAACCCCAAAAGAATATCCGTACTGAGCGAGCGCTCGTGCGCCTCATCGATCATGATCGCCGCGACGGACTCCAGGTTGGGGTCCTTCGTGAACTCATTCAGCATCATCCCATCCGTAACAAAAAGAATCCGAGTGAGGGAGCTGGAGCGGTCATCAAAGCGAACCCGATAGCCGACGACGCTACCGCAGGAGCAGCCCACCTCTTGCGCGACGCGCTCCGCGACGCTCATCGCCGCGATACGCCGGGGCTGGGTGCAGATCAACCGCAGCTCATCCCCTTCGTCGTCGTCTTCGGCTTCGTCTTCGTCTCCGCGGTCCTCCTTCGCCGAGTTCTCGGGATCCGGGCGGGAGACGGCCTCCGTCGAGCGCCTTTCCGTCCTTGACAGCAGGTGAAAACCCTCCTCGTAGAGATACTGGAGGAGCTGGGTGCTTTTCCCCGATCCGGTCTCCCCAACAAGCACGACCACTTGGTTATCTTTGATCAGTTGGAGCAACTCCGCTCGAACACCGTAGATCGGCAGCGAGCGGCGCTGCGCCTGGAGTAACTCATGTCGTTGTTGAAGGCTCGCGACCCGATCCCTCTCGATTTCATCGATGCTTTTTTCAGGCACGTATTCATGCGCCTTCACACGCCGCTCGATCGTCTCACTGTCCATAGCCACAAATCCACTGCCGACAGCGTCCGACCCGGCCCCATCCTTCACATCTCGCGTATACGGCGGTAGCACATCCTCCGAAATTCCTAGACGGTCGCCAAACACAGTGTCTCCCGATAGGCTTGGAAGATCTTTAGTGCTCTGAATGGCCGTGTTATCCGCCATCTCATGGCGGTGGGTGGCTGTCTGAAGGAGCCCCTGCGCTGCGCGCACCTGTTCGGCTCTTTTTAGCAGGAAATCTGCCTCCACCAGGGATTGTGGGACCACACCCTGCTCAATATCCTTGATCCTTTCTTCCAAAACAGCCGAAGAGGTTTTGCTTTGCAGTTTCGACTGTTTTTTAAGAAACGCCGTTCTGGAGGCCTGTTGGGCCTTCTTTATCGCATCCCTGTCCATTTGACCACCTCGAGAAGCTAGAGATGTGTTTTGCTAATGAAAAGGGGGGGGGGAACGCACAAAAAGGCTCGAGGTCAGTCGATTCGTCTATGATTTTAGAGAACATATAAAGGAAAAAAAGAAAAAAGATGAGGAAGAGGAAGTAAAAGTTCAAACTAATGGTTCGTATTGAATGTATATATGCACACATGTATGCACTTTTAAAAGGGTAAACTCCCCTGAACATATATAGGGTTCTTAACAGCTTCCCTGGTATCAATAATTCTATTTGTTGAATATAGGACGTTTCTCACAAAAGAAGTCTGTTTAACTCCTCGTCTAGATTAATAGTGTGGTCCCCATCTGCTGTACGACTGGTAACCAATGTGTAGGTTTCTGTAGATTCTTCTTGGGAAGTTGAAGATCTAAGACGTAAGGTAGGTAGTTGAAGGTCATAATGTTGCGCCTCATCATGTTTGGGCGAAGCAGCTGTTTTTATTTTTGTATTCGAACGCGGCATTGAGCGTGCATTTATCACATTCGATTGCTCACCGTGCGATGAATGCGAACTACCGTAATACAAGCAACAATTGCGGTCGACTGCACTATCTGATGTTGTTCTAGCCTTTACAGAACGCGATTTTTTAAAAGGCATGTTTAGCCACTCTCGGATTACCCGTCGGTCCTCCTCATCAAGATCACCATCACATGAAGTGCAGTGGGAACTAATAAAAGGGTGCTGAAGGAGCTCCGCGCATGTGGGACGCTTCTCTGGTGCCTTGGCAACACAAGATATGATAAAGTCTGCGAGAGACGGATCCATTTCAGGCGGCAATTCGAATGCGGGCTCATCGCTGCTGAGGTGCTGAAGAAGCGTCCAAAAGCACGCCTCGATGCTACCACAATGCAGACGCGCATATGGGCACTTCCCCAACGCCAGCTCCGCGACCACCAACCCAAGAGACCAGATATCCGCGCCGTACGAGTACGGCTCCCCTTTAAGCCGCTCTGGGCTCATGTATGTCACTGTCCCGACAAAACTATTCGCGTCGCCTCGAGTGCATTCGAGATTGGAGCTGAGGCCAAAGTCGGATATCTTTATCGCCCCTGTTGAGCGGCTAAAGAGAACGTTGCTTGGCTTCAAGTCGCGGTGAATGAGATGGCGCGTGCGGTGGAGGTAGGAGAGCCCCTGTAAGACGCTTCGTGTGATATGCACCAGTACGGCATCGGGGACGGGTTTCCGTATTTGGCCTAACGAACCATCCAGGCACTCCATCGCAATAAAAACGGACCCTTCATGCGAAAACGCGTTGTAAAAATCTACTAACTGACTACAGGACTCATGGTTACTAGTGTATAACGCCTCAAGCTCGCGCCGTATTTCACCCAAATGTTCCTCACGGTTAACTTTGATTTCTTTTAAAGCGAGAACAGCCCCTGTGCGGCGATTAATCGCGCGGTACACCGTTCCACTACTTCCCCGACCGAGAAACCCCCCTTTGTCGTCCGGAATAACCGCCAAATCCCTGAGCGATAGGGCTTGCCGTGGAAAAGAAGCACCACCATTCATCACACTACTAACGCCCGCAGATGCCCTTAAACCCTGGGATGAAACCAATAAAGAGCCCAGGCGCACGCCTTCATCACACAAGGCCTCCTCGCAATCGCGCTTATCGTCATACACTATATCGGCAATGTTAAGTCTCAGTCCATGAATTCTATCTCCCATTGGCACGCGCAATCGGTTTAAGGGAGATATCAGTTTCGCCCAGCTTTGTTATGCGTGAAAACACAAAACAGTTGTCTGACCTTTACCTCAGATCCTTTCAATGCTCGTGTGTTGCGGCAAAAAGAGAAAAGATTACAATGAAGCCTTTTCCTATTAAACTTAATTAACTCTTCAAACTCAGAAAATAATTTAATAAAAAATATATATACAAAACAGCAAACAAGACGTAGGCGAGTAAAAATAAAAAAGAACCTTCACTAAGCGTTTTTCTTGTTATAAGAACACCCTTGTGTAACGTAAGCACAGCAATTCTGAAGGTTGATCGGAATGTAATCTACCAATAGCAAATAAACGAAAGCGAAGAAATGTGACTGTAAGGATTTCCACTAGTGCTTTCGAGACATCAATAAAATTTTCCTTGATGCTTTAAAATTATCTAAATAAATGTAGATATGGATAGAATATGCACCAAATTGATTTTTCATATAAACCGAATGAGATTTTGAAAACCAAATTATCGAAAAACAAATGAACATTCAAATGCCATGTTTTGTTTTCAGAACTTTTCTCGGAATGCAATATAAATCAGAGTAAATTTTTGACATGCTCTAGAGGCCCTCTATCTATCCATGCACGTTTTCTTCTTCCAGGAGTTTGGAATCCATTTCTATATGAACAAAAAAAAAAAGAATAAGGGCTGGCTGTGATGGAGAAAAAGCATTCATGATAAATTTACATCACATAAAATAGTAGAAGCAATAATCACGATGAATCTATTATCTATTTAACTTCGATGATTTACAAAATTCGACCACTAAGCTGCCACACTGCAGGCCGTTGAGCATAACAGGAAGCTTGAGCGTAGCCGAGCGTTCTTTCGAAGAAAAGATCTCAGATACCTTTACAGAGGTCTCACCGATGGTGTCTTCGTCGGAATCACCTCGAATGGCTTGTACTTCGAAGCGAATCGTTTGGTTAGGTTCGACCGCGGTAATGAAAGCCGAATCCTCAGAACTCCAGTGCACCTTAAGGTTACCACAGGTTTCCGGTACCGTAAAGATGAGTTGCTCATCAATCCACACCAACACGCGGGTCCTATAATCCACAAGTTCCTCAAGCACCTCATCCTCCCTGCCCTCCGTGAAGCGGTAGCCCTCCTTGGCGTAGATGTATAAATTCACCGCAGGAGAGAGTGGCGCCTGCGGGGCCTCAGAAGAAGACCGCAGCACAGGCTCCGTCCCCAGAATTCCTCCGGAGAGATTCTCAGGGACGGCCTCGGCGGGCACGCTATGCGCGTTTGAGCGATGGGAAAGACCTCCTTCCTCGTCAACGGCGGAGCGCGGCGAGGTCGTGCGATCGGATGAAACACGTAATACCTCACGATACGAGGCCGTACTGCTGGATGTCGGTGGTGATAGCGGTCTCTCCGCCGCTTTTCCGGGTCGCGTTGTCTCCTTTGTGGGCCTCTCCGCCTCGGCTGTGGTCGGGGGATCGGGAGAATCGACGATGAGGCCGCTCACCACGGGCTCACTCGACCTGCCAAGCCGACCAACGCCCGGCCCCTTACGAACCTCCACCTCAAAGCAGACCTCCCCCACCACCTGCCCTTCCTTCGCGGGGTCGAAGAGCTTCATGGTGTATAACGAACAGATCGGTCCGGCCTCCGCAGCAGCAGCAGCCGAAGAAGAGGTCGGCCGACTCCCTTTCGCGGGATTCGAAAGCAGCGCGTTGACCGGTATGGAAGTGCGCCCGAGGAGGAGGGCCGCCCTCCCCGGCTCGACCTCCCTCCCCGCCCACACCTCCACCTCCAGCCTCCCGAAGACGTCGCGGGCGATTCGAAACCGCCCCTCGTTTGACGGGCCGTTGCTAAAGATCGGAAAGGCCGTTTGCGTGGTCTGCTCCGGCGTCTTGAAGAGGACGTCCCGCCCAAAAGGGCCCCGGACGACGACCTGAAGTCGACCTTCCGAGCCCAACCCACGGAAAAGCTCTTGGGGGTACGCGAGGTCCGCACAGGAAAGCACCCGCATACATAGGGTTACGATCTCATCCTCGGCGGCCTCCGCGTCGTCGGTGTGAAACTCCCCAAAAGCGACTGGAGAAAACCCTTCATAGCGATCGAGCAGGCGATTAAACGCCACCACCATTCGCTGCAGCCCTTCTGTTGTGTTCGCTTCTTGGCAAAAGGCCTCACACGACACCACGGATCGTGGCGCTTCGGACTCCTCCACGTCGATGGTCTCCGGCACCTGCGTTTGCGGCGGCTGAACCTCATTAAGAAGTTTCTTCAGTTTGGAAATGATCCCATCTTTTTCCTTGCACTCTTTCTGGAGCAACTGCCGCTCCGTCTGCAACGCCTCGAGGCTGTTTTGGAGGCCTTCCGCACTAGGCATGTAGCGTAGCACCCTCGCCTTGCGTTTTTCCCTAATCAAATGGCACGGATCGTGGCGTTGAACGGCACCGGAGAGCGTGCAAAGCGTTGCATTCTGCTCCATCACCGTCGTCCCCATCGCCTCGAGCTCCGATCGCAGCCGATTCACAACCCCTTGTAGCGCCTGCTGCTGTTTTTTATACCCAATGATATTTCGCTTCAGCTCATCGTTCTCCTTCTGGAGTCGTGCGAGGGCGCGCTCCGCGGCCGACGCCCGGAGGGAATGGCATACCTCGTGTGTTGTGGAGTGCAGCGCGCAGCCCGGGCGTCGGTTGGGGTCGTCTAGCTTAGATTCCCTGGATGGGGGCTCGTAAGAGGCCTCCATGGGAGGGGGGGGCCCTCTTGGCATCTCCCGGTAACACTTCGCGAAATCATTCCTACTTGAGGAAGCCACCGTCGCCTTCGGGTTGGTCTCGCCGAAACTAAGGACATTTTGGGAGGTGGTGGGGGTGTTAGAAAAGGGACGAGTGCCGTATACACCAGGCGGAATCACCACCTGGAATGGCTCACCTTCCCATAAACTTGGCGAAAAAACGGTCCCCGATGTTGTTTCCATCGTAGATGGAATAATTAAGCGACTAGAAGAATAACAAGCGAAGAAACACACGTTTGCAGGGAAAAGGAGATTCTCTAATATTGGTAAGATAATGTGAAAGTCTAAACGAAAGGGAATGAATCCAACGGATAATATTAGTGATAGCAAGCAAAAGTGGTGTGTTTGTTAAGGGGAAAAATGAGCTTCAGAGAGAAGAAATCAGAAGCAAAAACATTAAATAAATGCATAGTAAATACCTTGCTTCAGAACGCAATGAAAAAGGGCAGAAGTCAATTGGTAGAATCTATTGATGTAATACTAACGCCCAAGAATCATTTGAAAATCTAGCAGTGTGTGCAAGGAAAGAATTTCAGCTATATAACATCACAGTAGCAATAGATTGAAGGTACAAAGATTTAGGAAAGAGGCGATGGAAAAAGCGACATTCCTTTCAAATTCGCAACAAAAACTAGATGTTTAAAAATAAATTTTCGGTAAATCGTCATGATGAGTCAATCTACATGTACAGACAGCATGTTGCGAATGATTAAAAGACTAATAAACCAAGCCTTTACGCTTTGAAACGAGCTAGAAGCGTAAAATACATAACAAGATAGGGTTTACAAAATTTTGAGAGGATCAAAATCACACCATAAAATGGGAAAAACTCAGAAAAAGATCGTGTTCATTAGGCATATATAAAAATGCCACTCGAGGAAGGTTCACTAGTGGAATCGCTACCTAACGGTGGTCCTACCGCAATAAAGGAAAAGGAAAGGTATGGTTTGGAATTCCCTCGAGTTTCTAATTTTTCAGAAATCTTACTCTTTTGGTCCGTTATAAGGCTAAGAGGTGTGTCAGGGAGATGCAGCGTGTCAATCAGCTCCACAGTATCGACCTGAATGCGATCAATCGTTGCGCTTGCTAATGTCGTCGACGGAATACTACCACAAAGCACACGGCGGAAAGGATTTTTATCGGAAACAGCATTGACTTTTTCTTCGGCCACAGGAGAGCTTTTGGATTTTGAGGGATCACTGCACGCATCACACTCGGCATACACTAGAATCGCACGCGATTGGAGCCGTCCGATGTCGATTTCAACAATGGTCTCGTCATCCACCTCCCAAACCGCACTTAGCCCATTATGTTCCTTGTTAATGGATTCGGCTAGGATCGGGACGGCTTGAGTGTGTAGTAACAACCTCTTTTCTTGATCCCCTAAAGTCATCTTAACCACGAGTTGCATATGCTCATCAGCGCAGTCAGTTTCAACAGGAAAGTTGGACAGGCTAATCAATCGCAAGCGCACGTGTGTGTTCATGAACCGATACGGTCTCGAATTCCCTTTATTTACTATTGTAGATACTAAATCGTCCGCTTCGGCCTTGTCAGCGGTACTGTATTTTTGGTTTTGAAACGATACCAGACGCTGGAAGGCAGGGTCGTGAGTGAACACCTGCGATCCTAAAATACCGCAGAAAAGCTTGAGCTCTAGCTTTCCTATGCAGTGTGTTGATAGATAAACCATTTCAGGGCGGCTGGAAAACACGCTAAGGAGCCGGTTCCCGCTCGTACATAATTCACGCAACGGTAGCTGAACCTCCCCTACTTTGTCAGCCTCGTTAACGATACCTTCAAAAACTTCAAAGACTGCCATGCTATCGGAGGGAATAACCCTCGCATCAAGACGTAGAACGACGCCGGCGTCGTGAATCGGCCACCGCTCGCGGAAGCTTCCGTGCGGCGTCCGTAGAAACTCCCGGCCATGAACTTTCAGCCGCACCACCACGTCGGGCTGTAGCCTCCTCCATAAGGCTTTTGCCCAGGCCGCGGTCGTTCCCGCAGAGGCCGCGAGCGTCGCGTCGTCGTGAAAGCGAACTACGTGGAGCAGCACTAGGAGTTCGTCTTGGCTAAAATGCACCGCCCGCGGGCTCCCCGCGCGTGGGCGGTTCAGAAGACGCCCTTCCGCTGGCAGCACAAAGGCGTGGAGCCGCACAGCCGCGCGCATGCCACGAAGAGCGATGTCGAACAAGCCGTTCGTACTCAACCCGTCGCGGCCAACCGCGAAGACGGCCTGGTCGATCAGCTGCGCCTTGACCTCCTCATTATCGTAAAGCTCCAGCCGATAAAGCGCCTTGGATCCCGAGAGGTCGGGGAAGGGCAAGAAACACGACGCATCCTCGGCGCTCCAGGAAGCCTCGCAAGATGCACAGACCAAGGGTGTACGGAGCACCACTTTACCATCGGCGTTCCGAATCACCACAAATGGATCCGGCTCGACATTAAACCCCCAACTCATTTTCCGTGTCGTGGAGGAGGCCATTTTCGCCTTGCTAATCGACACCTTCTCGACATACAAAAACAAGACCTTTTCTGGGATCCGGCTCTCAACCGGTGTGGGGAGGAAAGTGCTGAGAACGTACACGAGGAGCTCGCCCATCACCTTACCCTTTTCCCGCGCCGCGAGGAGCGAGAGATGGCGTAGGCCGACGCCCCCAAAGACCAACTCCTCCGCGGTCAGCTCACACGATGCGATCGAGGTGGTTTTGTGGAGGAGATCAAACCTGATCACGCCGTTGGGTTGGATGGTAACAAAGGCCTCCTGAGGGCGCCAGGAGGGCGCGCGCGTTTTGGGCTCATTCATGGGCGTTTTCAGGAACTCCACAAGGGTACCATCCTGGCGGAGGGTGGCGTGGATGGAAGCCGAAACGCGATGCTTGAGGCCACGCACCCCGACTAGAAGAAGCGAGGTCGCGCCGGAGGGCCTCTCCTGAATGGGGGTATCCACCTCCCCGCGGCAATGCTCCTCCAACGCGGCGTAGTTGGCGGTCGTGATGACGATCATGGCCACCGTCATGCGGGGATCCGCGTGGCCGTCGGAGGCCTCCACGGGGGAAGAAGACGGGGAGGTTAACCGCATCCCACACTTCCCCACCCCTCCTCGCTCATGAGTGGACTCCATCGCGAACGAGCAGGCGTACAACACACGGCTCTCCTCCTGACGATCGCAGATCTCGAAGCGGATGACCGACTTTCGCTTCAGGAGGGAGATAAAGGTAGACGTCTCAACAGGCCAGGTCGGGTGAACAAGATCCTTGAACGAGGTCGTGCGCAGTAGCACCCGCTCGCCCACACTAACCTTCACAAACGGCTCCGCGCACGAACTAGTAATCGTGGGATCGAGATGATTGCATTCAATGACTTGCATGAGCACAAGGACGAAGGGAATCTGATCGAGGTCCTGACTAACGGAGTCGTCCGATTCTCCAGGTAACCAGAAATCATCCTGGGATATCGGCATCACTTTTACAAAGGTGCTAAAGTAGTTCTGATCCTTGATTTTTACTAAACGGTCAAGAATAGAACTTGATTTTTCGGTACTATGCTTGGTGTATTGGGCGTAATCCACGTTAGAGGACTTCAGAATCGTCATGGCACTTCCCAACCGTGCATCGGAGGAGCTTCGAGCCCCATGACCAGGGGTGGCGAGATCGCTCCCTACGATGCTACTGCTTTGGACGCGACCGAGGGTTGAAAGGGCCTTATCGATCGAAATGCCGAGAGCACCCTTCAAGGATGACATGAGCAGAGCAGACTGCGAACGTGCGTGACGACTGCGGCTAACAGACATGTTCAGTGGGTGAAGTGCTGAGACTAGTGAGGACTTTCTTTCCTCCAACACTGAGGACTGTTGCGGCTGGTTCAAAAGGCTGTCATTCCCACTGCTCTCGGAATTATTGTAGCATATAGGAGTGTACAAGTCTGGATTAAAAGGAAGCGATCGATTGTTTGCAGAATCCACCTCATCCATAGAAGCTTTACTTGAGTCAAGATGTTCCGGCTCCTTCAGATTTTCGATGCCAAAAAGATAAGCATCACCAGTGGGGCCCACCACCTCATGTAAGAACTCGTCCTCGGGAAGAAGAATGCCTTCTTTTCCCACACTTAACGAATCTTCAATGACGCTAGAAGCTCTGAACACATTGTCTGATGAGACCGTCGCTGTCACAAGCATGACGCTGCTCTCATTGAGTTGACGAAGAAAGCGCTCGTGGTCTTCAGACGGAGACAGCAAAAGCTGCTCAACTACAACGGTCTGAAGCTCATCCAATTCACCAGGAAAGTCGCAGTCCACGGGGTTTGGAGCCAAATCGGGCGGCACCGAAATGAGCGAGCATGCCTTAGGACCCATGGCTTTCTCCACGGCGGACATCCATGATTGATCTCCGCTGCGATGTGCATAGGTTTCTTCACTTGCTGTGAGTTCCGCGTCGGCGATAGCCCTCTGGCGTCTCCGTCGCGCGTAATCCACCCAATCAAACTCCTCCAGACTTTCTCGTGTCTGATTAACAAGGGTACGCAGGGAAGTCGTGTGGGGGCGTTTCCGCGCGCTCGAACTACGGATCTCGCTCGAGGGAAGAGAAAGACTCGAGCGTGTTCGCCGCCGTAGAGGAGTATCCGTGGTATCCGGGATGCCGTCATACACTTCCAGTATGCTTTGCTCGCCAAACTGCGCCCGGTAGAGGTCAATGCCCTGGCGGCACACCACCCCTGCCTGCGCGTCGGCCCTCGCCGCGGAAAGAATCTCGAGAATCGCCTCGCGTCGGAACACCCAAACATCCACCGAGGTTTCACAGAAGACGTCCGTCGGCCAGCAATGCGGCCGCAAGCAGAGCTCCCCTAAAAAGTCCCCCACGCCACGGACCTCATCGACGGCCGGCACCGGCGCCTGGTGCTGGGGATCCGAATCCAAAAACCTCACCACGCGCGTGAACCCCCTGGCAATGACGTAAAGGCATTCACAAGGGGTGTTTCGTTGCGCAAGTTTGTGGCCGGAGGGCACCGAAACGATCACCGCCCGTCGCGCAATCTCCCGACGCATCGCTTCGGTGGTGTGGCTTAGGCAGGGAACCCCTCCCAGGAGGTGAATTAACCCGAAAAGACCCCGCTCGCGGCCCTCCTCCATCCACTGCTTGCGACGTTCAAAAGCCCGCTCGAAGAGGTCCTTGGCAAGCGTGGGGGTTTGCTCAAGAAGCTGGTTTAAAACCTGGAGTGAAACCGCGTACAGCTCACACACGGAGTTGGCGATCGCCGTGCAGTTCCATGGATCCCCGAAAAGCGCACTCGCCTCGCCAAAGGCTGCGCCAGGGCCAAAGTTGGCTAACGGCTTCTCTTTTACTACTATCGTCAAGGTACCCCTTCGCAGAAAATAAATATATCGACAGCTATCCCCTGCGTTAAAGAGCACGTCGCCAACACCGAGCACCATCACCCTCATCTCAGAGCAGAGCTTCAGTCGATCCTTCTTGCTCAAGTGGAGCCCTATCCAGGATCGCCGAAGAAGCACCGGGCTGGGATAATAGCTCATGAGGAGGATTTCTGTTCGAATCGGAATGACGCGCTCGCGAAAAGCCTTCAGGAGCATCTCCGACTGTGGTGACCCCACTGCGAAGTGCGCGAAGACTTTCCAAAACCAACGAGATGAGATAACAGCCACATCTGCGGTTTCACTAGGGCCACATGCAAAACTAGAGCACGAGCGGTCTTCACAGAGAACGGGAACCGTGCATAAAACCTCCGGCGCGTAACGTGTGCGCACGTACTCAGGGGAACTAAGCCGCCTTGCGGCAGTCCATTCTTGTGGCTTGCCGCCCGGGCCGCCGCTATCCGGCCGCCGCTCCACCAACTGTCCGTGAAGAAGCACGACGATCCCACACGAGAGATGGGATTCGTTAAAGTACACGATCGGTTCCTTTGGCAGCAGATAGAAGAACGTAGCCTCCTGAGCTAGCAGATGAATCATCTCTGGGGGTAACGGGAGCAAAGTCTCATTTGACGAGCTTAAGGCGGAGACGACAGAATCTGTCGTGTGATTACGAGGCGGGTAAGACCCTTTCCAGGCCTTGATTCGTCTTCGACCTAAGACTTTTTTTAAGACTAGAGGCAAAAAGAGGGTACGAATTACTTTCAGTGCCGCAATGCGCGCAGGATCTTCTAAATTTGCTGTTGTGTGCCGCTTCTTGCGCTTACGCCGTTTCAATGTGGTACTAGTTCTACCCAAAGGCGTGCCACCACTAACGTTACGGGTAGTTGGGGTATAAAGTTTGGTCGACCCTGGCAGGTAAGGCTTTGGTACCTCGGTTCCCCCCACTTTGTCGGAGCTAGAGATGCTAAAAGACTTGCTCCCATGCTTGCTGTTGGAACTACCTGAGGGAAGGATAGAACCAGAACTATTTGAGTTATTTTTTTTAATTGTACAACCGTTTTCTGCATTATTCAGGATACGCGCAGGTAAGGGTCTTTTTTTTACTACATTAGCCATATCCTATTGGGAAGAAAACAAATATATGCTATGGGTAAATTTGTGCTTCTTCTACGAACTCGAAACACTGCCCTTTATGTATGACGACTGCACGAGGTGTTAAGATAAACACCTACTACTTTGTCGAACAACTCTATCGACTCTGTGCGCACAGACGGATAGAGATGAAAAGGGAGTGAGTAGAAAAGTGCAGAAAAGGAACGAATAAAAGTAACCAATCGAATTAGTGGGAGAAAAATAGAGGTGGCACAACCACTCCCATTCGACAGCATCGTAGATTTCAACTACATCTAGACAAGTATTTTTTCATGTCGAATAATTCTAAAAGTGGATACAAAAAAGGGAAAAAGAGCTCTACCCAAGAAAAACAAGCTACATCGCACTGCGTTTTTATGAAAGTAGTCCTTCTTCCGCTTCCTCGCAGACAATATATATTCGCTTTTGGTCTCTACTGAGCTAAGCGTTTAGCGCGTTCGCGATTTTTCTCTTCCTTTGCCGTCGCCGTATCCTTCTTGACACGCTTTTCTAGCTCGTCATAAGTATCTAAGACAGTGGTAAGAAGCCATTCAATACCCTTTTCCAAATCCTCATCCTCTTCAATGCCACACGTAGCGAACACCCTATAGGGGGTCCCAGGGAGTAGGACTTCCTCAAGAACCCCCTCTCCCACGGCCGCCTCGCGGCGGCTCGTCGACAAATCCTTCTTGTTGGCAAGCACAAGAACCGGCTTGCCCTGCATGAAGGGGTGCTTGAGGGTCTGCTGAAGGACTTCGAGAGATTTCACCAAAGTCGCGTCCTCCGCGGCCGAGTCGATGACATAAACGATACCATGACAATCATGAAAATAGTGCACCCAAATTCCTCTGAAGTTCGATGAACCACCTAAGTCGAACATGGAAACGTCACATGAATCCGTCTGAAATCGAACAGGGTTAAAGCCAACGGTTGGAGTGCAGTTCTGATTTATCTCTCCACCAATCGCAGACAGAATAGTAGTCTTTCCAGCGTTGTCCAGACCAAAAACCCCAAGTGCAATCCTTTTTGAGGATGAATTTACTTTGTTGGAAATTTCCTTTTGACCAGTACGTAAATCATCATTGTTCAACGAAGTGATACAATCGCCATTATAGTGTATTTTAGTGGGGTCGTAGGTGCCTTTCTTACGCTCAGACTCTTCCACTGAAGCCAAGAGATCCCGCAAGTATTGGAACGGGTTCTCGGGACGGTCTACAATCACCTTGGTTGCCAATAGCTCAAAAAGATGGTGAATATTGTACTTTTTACAGTACTCCAAACGCTTTATATCTTCTTCGTTCATAATCAAAATACTATGTCCACAGGGTCAAACTTGTTGGTAAAGCATATATCTTTTTTTGATTTGAAACAAGGTTTCTAGAACTTTGTTTACTCCCCTAGCTTGTGAGTGGTGCAGCTATGATTTAATTCTAGTATTTTGCTCTCACTCTCAACGTTAAGATTAGCAAAGCAAACGAAAAAAGATATTAACGTAATTCAGGAAGCTCATAACTATTGGTTATGCTTTATCACTCTCAAGTCAATTACCTTTTTCAACTGAAAGTTTTAACCCCCTCTAAAACATATATATATATATATATATGTATATGTATAAAGAGAGGGAGAGAGAGAGAGAGAGATAGGTTTGAGTTCTTTGTATTTATATTTGTCCCCACAGTCCCTCATGGAAGCTGATTTTCAATTAAGAATCATGCTATTGAACCTCAGCCACAGCCCCGGCAATAAATTGGTTATAAACCTCTTCATGCAAGACCATGTATCCTGGCTCCATGTGCACAATGGCATCCGACTTCCCCATTTCACCCAGAAAGTCTTGCAAAAGTCGTTGCTGATCAGATGACAAGCACTTGAGCAGCACCAGATGCTTCTTGAACACGACGCGGTTACACTCACTTTCCCACATATACAACTGATCGCAGAGCGACTGCGGGATGGCAAATCCGCTGTCAGCGGCATCCGCCTCGGACGCGGCGCCGGTCCGAATCACAGGCCCCTCACGCCCTGTGGTCGAGGTCGAGGCCGTCGCCAGGTCGCCGTCTTTGGTGCCGTACTTTTGAAGCATGCTGGGGTGTGCGCGGAGGGATAAAAACTGAAGAATCTGCGCCGCCGTGAGCCCTTTTCGCAGTGCGGCCGCAAAAGACTCCCGCGTGATGCGATAACACAGCAGCAGCCCCTCCACCTCCTCCTCCCGCACGGCGAACTGATCGAGAATGCGAATCAAATCGGGGTTGCGGGTGTAGGCGTAGAGTCGAAAATTGGTTTCGGTGATGATGGTATCGGTATCCTCCCGCCGCACCGCCCGGGCGTTCGCCGCGGCCGCCGCGTCGTCGTGGAGCATCGCCGTCAAACACAACGGCGCCGTCGCCCGCCAGCCCAAGGCGTGATGGAAGTGCGGGGAAAGCACGAAACAGCGAGAACCGGCGGTCGTCTGCACCGGGTATGCGAGCCCCACCTCGGCGAGCCGCGCGAGCAGAAGATACCCCGCGAGATCCTCCGTTTTGCTCGGGAAGGCGTACATATACCGCACCCCATCCAACGCCGCGAGAATGGCGAGAAGTTGCCAAAGCCGCGGCATCGTCACCTCCGCTTCCGAGGCGGAAGGGGTTGCGCGCGCGATGGCGAGCACGCGATCCATCGCCCCACTCACGAGCACCCACCACTGCTGTGGGAGGGGCATCAGGCAGAAGTTCAACCCTTCAGCGGTAACGCGGCCGTCCTCGGCGGCGCCCGCCGGAGGAACGAGGCGGCGGAGCTGCAGAATCGCCCCGAGTGCGTGATGCGTCTTCCCTTCGCCGAGAGGGGCGAGCGACCCCGCCAACGCGCACGTCGTCGCGCTGCGAAGAAACCGCCGACTCGTTTTCAGCGCGTTTCGAAGAGAAGCGGCCGTCAAAGGGATACCAATGCCATCCGGGGAGAGGTCGGGAACGCGAACAGGGAAGGAAAAATGCGGCCTCCCTGCCAAGTGCACCAAGAGAAGATCGGAAGGCACCGCCCCGGGCGTCGGGGTGGAATTCCCAAAGTCGAGCCCCGTGCGTGGCATCCACGACGACTCCAGCGCCTTTCGAAACGTTTTCCAGAATAATTCGCGTGGGAGGATGTTGGCGGGATCGGGCTCCGCCATGCCGGACGTCGGTGCTGTCGGAGCATCAAATATCAAGCGAAAGACCTCGCTCAGGGATCGAGCCGAGAGAAGCTGCGTGACGCCATCCTGCCGTGAGCTGTTCACGAAGGGGTCCGGCACCATGCTCCCGGAGCCGAGAGTGGCAACAATATGTTGATAAAGATAGAGTGCAAAAGCAGGGCATTCAATGATGAGTTGCTCTCTCGAAGAATGAGAAAGGATACACTTACAGTAGGGCTCTAATGTCATTCTTGATGCATCGCTTTTTATGCAAATATGGATACTTTGTCTATGTACCAAATGTTTTATCGCTATTGGAACTCTTTCTGCACCAATATGGGTAATTTTTTTTCAACTATACCTTGAAAAATAGACGGTAGAACAGAAACAGAAACCAATATAAACACAGAGTCCTAGTAACACCAAATCCGAAATCTGGAGAAAATATACTAATATAGATTTTCACTTTGGAAGAACTTAGCATTTCGATACCATAGAGCATGAGAAAATAAGGCCTAGCTACCCTACTCGCCTAATCGGCATCTCCCCACCAGCTTGCGTGGACACCGTGAGCAGAAAACTGACCTCTTGATCGCCCCCTCCAGACTATGGTTGACTTACACTTATTTCACACTCTTTTTTCGACCCGTTCCAGAAGGGGGTCCATGCGCCTCTAAAACTCATTAGGGGACAGCCCATAGCTGAGGTAGAGTAGTGGGGATCGACAGAATAAAATGGCGACGTGCACGCCAGAAACTGAGGTCGCCTCACAGGCAAAGCATCACACCCTACTACTTCGTTTGTAGGAGCTCCTCAGGCCAAAATCTCTCGTTGAAATGGTGCTGCTCGTCCTTGAGTTCGACAAGCGATGGGGGCTGGATTTGGCAGCGGTGACGTGAACGACTGTGGGGTTCAATTCAGGCCCCACGGCGGCCGCCACAGCGATAATGCTCCACCCAAGCATCGGGGAAGCAAGTCCTAACCGCCTCATCGCATACACACACACACACAAGACGCATGATAAGAGTTTATGGCAGCCTCAAGCGAGATAGCAGAAAGCTGAAGTTCCCTGTCGATGGGTAAGACCCTGGAAGTAAAAGAAAAAAAAAGTACCCTTTGGCAAGAAATCAAAGAAAGTCATGAGGCACCCAAATCGAAAACTGCCCCTGACAAATGCAAGCAAATGTATGGATATATATTTATTTATATGTTACAAAGGGTTTTATTATTTGTGTTGTATCTATTCTAATCATGACTTAGCAAGTCGTATTTCTAACAGCCCCGTTGAGTGAATAGGGGAAAAAGTTGCCATTCAATCACTATAATTTCAATGCCCCAATCACCTTATTATCTCTGTGAGTGAGAAAAACGTTGATAATCTACCTATTTTGCTTTTATAGAAGTAGATCTTCGAAACGTGATCCTACCAAATCCCTTCCTAACCACTACCAAGAAAAATCACCTACCCATCTGCCATTAAGCTGGCAACAAGACTCCTTGTGTGTGGAAGAGCATTCCATGCTGGAATTGATGTCAACTTCAGCAGCGCTAGAGCCCTCTTTCACGTCATCTGCGCTCTTCGGCTTCCGCAGCGAAGACAACAACACTGGCTTACACGAAGACCAATCCAGCCGATCGAGACGACCGCGGTAAAGCTCGCCGTCCAACCCGTCTGGAACGTGGAGAAGCTCTACTGCGAGGCTCTCACGATCATCCGCAAGGAGCGCCACGGTTGCATCCAGCGTATCAAAAGCTTCATTCACACCACCCTTACCCTGAGCACCGTACCCATTATGGAGCGGACCCCGGTCGGCTTGCCGCAGATGTGGTAGGATATAAAAAACCACAGGCAGCGTTTCATGGGTTCTAAGCTCCATGTACATCCACACCACAGGGAGGCTTTCATACACGCCACCGTAGGACTCAGCGAGAATGGAGTAGGAACCGCACGCGCACGGTATCGATGCGACGTCTTCGAATGTCATGTCTGGCTCTCGCCAGACATCATCCTCGACGATGAGGGTCAGCTTAAGCCCATACTTCTCTAAACTCTCATCCAGTGGCTGATGAAGGCCGATCCATAGTCGTGCAGGATTGCCATGTGTGGTTGGCAATATGCGCACGCGAAAAAAAAACAAGGGCGCAGCAACCGGGCTTCCTTTAAAGGGAATAATGACCCGCACGTCATGATAGCAGCGACAGTCGAAGCAGACATGGCACCACTGAAAGAATTGCAGGACCTCATCCTCGTATTTAAGCCAAATACAAGAGTCGTCGTCCGGCTTCAACATTGCAGCCATCTCGAACTGCTTGGCATTCTCAGATTCTGCTCTCCTATTGTGATCCAAGATACAAGGAGCTTGTTCCGTGCATAGTGCTGCATCTTGAGATCGTCGTTGCCAGTCTCGCACGAGCACCATTAGTCCACCCTTGGGGTTTTCAGCTACGGACAGAACTTGATATGCGGACCCAGGGATTAGTCCCGTTCGCTGAAAGAAATCGGGTGCCCCGTTAAAGCCAGGCGATAGGTTTCTGATGCTTTCATCACGTGTATTGATAAGTTCTGCTCGTGCTCTACCAGGAACATACTGCTCCGCACCCGTCTGATCGATTTGCGTTATGAAAGAGGTTGACCCAGAGACGTCTATGGTAGTCAGAAGCACGAGACCGAACCCACGTGCGCTCGTCTTGATGGCCGCGTCCATCTCCAGAAACGCTCGCATGCGATCCTTTTTCCACCAATCCCAAACCTCCACGGGACCGCCGGTGAACGCGCCGATCACGTGTGCGGCCGTTAGCCCCCGCAACCCCGCGTAGGATCCCGCGACTTTCGCCAACGCCTTTTCCGCGATCGACACCCACAGCTCAAACCCAGGGGTGGCGGTGCAGCCATACGGGATGGGGCGACCGCCCTGGCGCGCCCGCACCCAAGGGAGGTAGCCGTCCACCAAGACCCCCCGCCACACCCCCCGCCGCGCGAGCCACACCCCGTACACC